TAATTATAATTGTTAATATCCATGACGTAATTCAAGGTGTATACGCCTTCCAGATATTTTCTCCTGACAAAGGCTGCGAATTAATACTATTCTTTTACTGAGTTCACTTCAAACAAAGGTGCTCATTCCAACATAARAGACCAATCACCTCGTAATGGACGCCTGAGTGCGAGTTTCGCTAACGATAATCAATCTCTCCATGCGCCAAGAAAGTGGATCCATGATCATGTTCTATGCAAGTCTTCTGTTGATAATTGTACTTTCTTGTTTGGAAGGTAAGTACAKYTCGCAGACAGAAACAGAAACTAAGCGCTATGTTTACAGMMGTTAYATGTAAATTGCAGACGTATTTTCAATGATATCGATGCGTACTAAACACTCAAAGCTTATTTGGAAAGTGATTTTGACACAAGTGAAAATAATAAGAGTTTATCCTTCTTGTCAACTAATGAAAAACATACCTCTCTTCTTCATCAGCAATTAAAGAAAACCCATTTTTTTCCCTTTTCAAAAGGTTCAGCGCCGTTTAAGAGATTAAAAGATGTTTAAACTCTAACTTTTTCTGAATAGCGAAGTAACGTCTTTGTCATTCTTTCAACAATAAACATAATCATGAAATTGCAGAACATCAAAACTGTTGCGATGGTTACATTTTTGCTRWATATCTATTTTTCCTTTGTTTGTCAGTGCAATGTTTTTCGACGCAAAGGCTTTTATTGACAACTTCGCTCAAATGATATTTATAAAAATTATTTGTCTTGAATCATCCAGCAGCAATTCAACAAGGGTTATAAATAAGAACAATGAAAAYAGTGATGTCTAAATGTTAATAATTCAGGCCAATAGCAGGAGCTTCCTTTTTTTTACACCGGGATCATTCTTGGATTTTTATGTTTTTATAAATGACTATTAGAATTGAAACATCGGAAACAACATGAATTATGATATATCGACAAGAATTTCAAAGTTCAACGTAAGCTTTTTGACCAATGAACAGCCTGCCTTTTCAAAGAGAAAACGTGTATGACAAACAATTGTTTTACAAATTTAGTACTCTTGCTAAAATATAATCAGTGTCTCGCCTGTGAGATGGGTTGCTAACTAATGCTAATAACTCTCCTCTGCATTTGCATATAGTAAAAGSCAAAGTTCTTCCCACCGTCTCCATACGTGCTGGCCAAAGCTTTGAAATCAAGTTAAACCTAACTTCCAGACCCGAAGATTTGGCCTTTGCAAGTTTTGCTTATATCAAGAACCAGCTCCATATTCAAAGCATTCTTCTTCATTTCTTACATCCTGAAGGTATCATCAGCGATATCGAGCCAAGGTTAAGGTTGCTTGGAAACACTACACAAGGRGAGGCATGGTTTTTGTTCAGAGATGTTAATGTAACGGATACAGGACTGTAYGGCGTGTTGTATAGGTTTATGAACAATGCTGAGGTCCATAATATGACATTTACACTGAATGTCACTACTCGTGAAGGTAACCAATCACAATCATACAACACCACGTGACATGGATGCTTATGTTCTCCGAGCTTTAACCCACATGGCCTAGTAACTCTTTTCTAGTCAATATCACCAGCTTCCRTCAGTTTGCTAATCGCAGTCTACCCTTTTTTCCGGGCTTCCTGTCCCTCCCAAAGAAAACTACTAGCTCATACATGTTTATAATGACTGTTGTCCTAATAGAGTATTTTCGCCTATTTAGTTGTGAAGACCGAGGGACCCCGGCCGACAATTTACAGTAAGCTGACTTATTAAGACAAAAGTATAAACGTTTCTGTAACGAATTATTGGACAATATTAACGGTGATTTGCTTTTTATTTTTGTAGTTCTGACATGGAGTCCTCCCACACAAGCCACCATTGGTGAGTMTCATTGAATTTCAATAAAATACACACTATATTATTCAGTTTATCATTGTGAATTGCATTGAAACTGAATGATAACAATCAAAAAGACCTTTTACGTCATGTACCGTATACGCAATGAATTGTAGGATAGGTTTGAGACAGAACATGGCGGATTTCTTTTTCTCTTGAAACTCATCCCACAATGCATTGGAAATCAAGTATTAACGTAAAAAAGTTCAGAAGTCTATTGAGCCAATAATGATGAATTGTAAGTGTTCTTTTTTTACTAGTGACGATATCTCCGCGGACGAAGTCCGAAGGAGCAATCAACAAAGATATCGGTCAGTATAACCTTTACTGGTACCAAAGGCAATGTACGGARGCATTAACTTGCGCTCTTTTGCTTTACAGGCCTAAAGTCGCTGATAATCGTTACCATCATAAGCCAAACTCTGCTCTAAGCCAAGTGAACACAGTTGTCATGGACAAAATTACTTCCAATCCTTTCAAAATGAACAGCTTTTTTTGCATCTAATTTTCATAAGTCATGCATTAAAATAACATGAAAAAAAAGCAGAAAAGAAAAAGAACAAGGAAAAAAGCAGAAAAGCAAAAAAAAGCTTACTTTTACAAAACGGTCAACCATCCCAATAGACGGCCGTTGCGCACACCCTAGAGGGAGGTGATTAGTCGGTTAGTCAATACGTAACTAATCCCTTGTGGTTTGAATGTCTTTGTAGCATTCAATAATTGTACTCTAGAATATCAAAAAATAAAGATATAAACATATCCTTGTTCATCAACCAGCATCAACCTATATTTCAACCGACTTGAGAGTTTAGAAATTATATTTTGCACGCCATGTTAGACTTTGAGCTTCAATTATAAAAACTACAAAGGAACTAAAAATTGTTCGAGTGGAAATTATAAACAATTGTCAACAATCTAGAAGAATTTGCTCAAATTTAAAGTGCGCCCCAAAATGATAATATTAAGAAAGAAGAGCAGAAAAGAAAAAGAAAAGAAGAAGAAGAAAAAAAAAGAAAAAAAGAAAAAAAACGAGCACAAAACGGTCACCCATCCGAATGGACTCTCGCTCCCAGGTCTTTATGCAGCTTGATAAAATTCCAAAAAAATCAAGTGTAAAGTCGTTGCAGAATGGAGAGAAATTTAATTGCGACAACACAGCGAATATTTCAGTAGCGAGATCATCTGTAGTTCTCATTATGTTGTTTGTGTTATTTAGTTTACTTTTTCTTAGTTAAGAAAAGTATTCCCTAATGTTTTCAAAAGCATTGGATACATGGGATTACAGATACTGGATCAAAAGCATTGGATACATGGGATTACAGATACTGGATCAAAAGCACTGGATACAGTATCTCGTTACCAGGCCTTTGCGCTATTGTGCTCGATAGACTTCTTCAATAAAGCGGTGATTTGACGTAGATTGTTGGTTGTACTTTGCAAGGAGTAGCTCAGTTTATGACTTAGGGATCGGCTATCTCCTCCCTGACCGGCATCGTGTTAGCTTGTATGGATTACTCACTAGTGAACAATCGTTACCCTTTACCAATTTTTTCACATAAATCCATTTTGACTATTTCTTTTAAATCTCATAATCCAGAGTTCCAAGGTTCGATCCTCCACTGGAGCACGTTTGAAAAATTCTGTTTTTTTCCTTGCTTTCTTGATCTTTTTTATGACTGTAATACAAGTGTTCTAGTCATGTTAGATTTTTATCGTAGCAATTTGTTTTATCAATATTTACGAGCCGCGTTTTAGAAACAAGATGATACTCATGTTGGT